TGGTGAGGAAGAGAAAGAAAATGAAAATAAAGTGGCAGGGTGTGACCTCACTTTCCTTTAGAAGTCTCCTTTTCTGAGCAGTTCTCCACAGTTATTCAGAGCTCCACCAACATCATCCCAAGAACAAGGCACATGACAACATTTGCCCTCTTTCTTCCAAGAAGCTTACCACAGGTCACAACGGTGGACTATCCTCTCCAAAGAAATCAAACTCCCTATGTCACCAACTTTACAAAAAATGGATAAAGTTCTTCCTCCACATTGTCAGAGCACCTTAATTCTTGACTTTCAAACTGTAGCTTTTTTACTGTCTATGGTGCTAAGAGAACACTTTAACCTTATTTTCCTGACCATGTAAGTTATTCCTTGGTATTAAATTCAATACTTGGAGAGGAGTGTTGACTCTTTCAAAACATAAAGGTGCTGCTTGGTTAATAACATACTTCTTTAATCTCTTGAACTAATTCTGCAGATCTGCAGAATAAGTAGCAAAGAGATATGCAAGATATGCAAGAACCTCAGTGGCTCTAGGAGTAAAGCCCTTTAATAGGGCATAGCTTTGGGTAGGTAAAGGTCTAAACTTAACAAAGAATCTGCTTCTGGGAACTACTAAATCTACCAGGACAGAAAAGAAGGAGCTTTCTGTGAATGTCTGTATAAGCTTGAGGATCATGTCAGCCTAGCTTCATTTGGCTTCCATTATAAGAGAAATTTGATGATATTGTACAATAGTAAATTGCACCTGTATACAAGTGACTAAGAAGTGGGGGAAGGCCAGTTTTCCCATTTGGTCTGAGTATATCAGCTATAAGGAACAACCAACCTTCCAGCAGAGAAATCCAGACTCCATATCAACACAAACTATAACGCCAAATACATCCGAATTTGATGTATTCACATTGAGAGGATGGGACTAAATGCATGAGTTTACAACTGTGCTAAAATGGATACTGATTTTTAACTGAGGAGCTATAGCCATTGTTATGAAGAACCTAAATCCCACAGATAAGTCAGCTTTCTAAGAAGGTATAATATAAAAGACAACAGGCAAGCCAGAAGGCATCAGGACTTACCTTCTAATTAAGCCCAAAGTCACTTTAAAAAGCAGACCATCCTGTCCAATCACACCCATTCCATTGGCTCGTCCACAGCTGTCAATACAGACCATCTCTGGTTCCATATCTTTATTAGCAACCACAAACTGGCCATAGATGAGATCTCCAACCTACAATGATAATTAAAAAACAGTTCATTTCCTCTCAACAAACCATGCTATAGGTGCTGCTGTTGGTTCTTTTCCATAGGTAGCAATGCCAGCCACCTGCAGTTCTGTGGCTAAATGACTGACTACACTCCAGGATTCTCACAGTCACTCTGGAGTTGTGCCTTAAAAGAAGGCAAAATTAACGCACATACCCCTACCTTTCCCCCACCAGAAAAATCCCCAGACTGGGAGCTATCTCAAAGCCAGAGAATAGGACTTCCCTGGTGGCACAGTGGTTAAGAATCCACCTGCCAATGCAGGGGACGTGGGTTCGAGCCCTGGGCCAGGAAGATCCCACATGCTGCAGAGCAACTAAGCCCAGGTGCTACAACTACTGAGCCTGCGCTCTAGAGCCCCTGCGCCACAACTATTGAAGCCCGCGAGCCTAGAGCCCGTGCTCCTTAACAAGAGAAGCCACCGCAATGAGAAGCCCACAAAGCGCAACGAAGAGTAGCCCCCGCTTGCCGCAACTAGAGAAAGCCCACGCACAGCAACGAAGACCCAATGCAACCAAAAATAAATAAACGAATAAATAATTGATTTAAAAAAAAAAAGCCAGAGAATACCCTCTGGGGTTACACTGTAAAATACAGTAGCCACTACCCACATGTAGTTATGTAAACTTACATTTAAATTAATTAAAACTATATATTTAAAATTCAGTTTCTCAGTTGCATTAGCCACATTTCAAATGCTCAGCAGCCATGTGTGGCTAATGGCTACCATAATAGTCAGTGCATATGTAAAACATTAGCATCATCACAAAAAATTCTATTACACAGCACTGCTTTAAAGAATTACAGAAACCCCTGGCATGCAAATTATTCCAAGCAAAATGGAACACTGGTAATTCAGTGACATTTCTCCATGCAAGATTTACTTTAGGGGCTTCCCTGGTGGCACAGTGGTTAAGAATCCACCTGCCAATGCAGGGGACATGGGTTCGAGCCCTGGTCCGGGAAGATCCCACATGCCACGGAGCAACTAAGCCCATGCGCCACAACTACTGAGCCTGTGCTCTACAGCCTGCAAGCCACAACTACTGAAGCCCGCACGCCTAGAGCCCGTGCTCTGCAACAAGAGAAGCCACTGCAATGAGAAGCCTGCACACCGCAACGAAGAGTAACCCCCGCTCGCCACAACTAGAAAGCCCGCAAGCGTCAACGAAGACCCAACGTAGCCAAAAATAAATATAAACAAATTTTTAAAAAAAATTTTATTTTAAAAACCTCAAAGAGTTGAACTTCAAAATGACAAAACTAAGGAAATGGGAGAGTAAACTTGTTCTGTTAAGTACCTAGTATTGTTAGTTCCTCAAGGAACTAGAGGAACAAAACATTTTCTGCCTTTAGAAGCATTTGGTTTCGGAGGGCAGTTGGGATATACATATAAACAACAAACTTCATTCAAGGCTGAATCTAGTAAATAAGAAAAGTGACTGAAAATTAGGGATGTTTCTATGGAGGTGGTGGTGCTCAGCCTGGGTCTTGAAAGATAAGCATGTATTCCACTGGCTAAGAAGGGGAAAGAGTAATCCAAGCAGAGGGAACAGCATGAGCAAAGGTACAAGGGCAGGAAATTATGAATTCAGTAGTGCTCTTAAATAGTTTGGTGTGGTTCAGGCAGGGCCACATGGAGGATATAATTACGGATGAGGGAAGACCTCTGGAGCATAATACCAAGGAAACATGTAGGCTTTGAAGAACTTTTTTTTTTTTTTTTTTTGAGAAAGGGGTGTGCTGTCAGCTCTTAAAAGGAGGGGCAAAAGTGTACAGGCAGGCTTTACTAAGGAGGTCAGTGACTAAATCCAATCAAGGGATAGCTAAGGCCTGAACTTGCAAAGTGGAAATAAAGGGGTGTTCATGGAAGATCAGAGAGACTCAAAAAGGATCAATAAGATAAAGCAACTAAAGACACAAGAGAGGTGAGTGAGAAAGGGCAAAGAAACCACCAAATTTCTGGCTTGCTTGGATGGACAGGAAGAGTATGGCCATGCTACCTGAAAAGCCCAAATTGAAAACTTGAGGTAACAAGACTGCTCCTCTGTCGGCTGCAAAAAGGGATTGTTGGGAAACAGTGATGTGACTGAAGCTGTGAAATGCCAGTCCTGGGACCCACATCCAAGATAGATGGATGGCTGATATGGCAATTTCCACCACTCTTCTCTCCTTCCTCTCTGAGCCTATGGCTTACTTCCTTGTCTGGTGTATATGGACATAACAAATAACAGAGAGAACACATATAACCTTCCAACTCAGTAGAGATGAAAACATCCAACAACATAGCAAATGTAAAATAAGTATGTGGTTCCGGTCCCAGAGCTGGAGCATCTGAAGGAACTCTTGAAGCCTGGGGTGATTACACAGATCCTCCAAGATCATCCTATACAACTAGGGAAACAGGATCATTCCGGTAGCCTTCTGGATATTTGAGTGTTTAGGGAACGGATATTTCTTTTACTTTTGAAACCAAAGGTCCTGTCATTACCTGCACATTTGGTCTGTTTCTTTTAGTTGCACCTTCAAATGACAAGTAAGACAAAGAAGCTGGCTCACTCCCTCCAACATCCACTTTGAATATATCTCCAGACTTAGCTGTCACTATGCCGATCACATGGTCTCCTTTCACTGGGACATACTACAAAAGAAAACAGAATGAGAGCACAACCACAAATGACAATCATTTTTAAGACATCTTCAGCAAGTCCTTAGTGGTTACTTTATGTTTGTCATTGTAAATATTTAGAAAATACTTTGAAATCCATGTTTACAAATCGATAAAAATCTTACAACAAACTTTATTATGTCACTTTCAGTAAAAGAAAAACAATCACATGATAAACTCTCGGGTTTCCAGCTTCTAACAGTCTGTTCATTTACGTCACTATCACCTACCTCTTCTATATTCTTATCAGAAACTCTCTAGCTTCTGTTTGCATATGAGTACAGTGACACAGGGGTCCTTACAACCAAGGAAGGCCATTCCATTGTCAGACAATTTTTTCCTATGTGAGAGTTCTTATTTATTCTAAGAGAAACTGAGCTCCCTGTGACATCTATTCATTAAGCCTGGCTCTTTGGGACCCCGAAAGACAAGTCTTCTGCTCCCTGACCTATGGGGTTTTGAAGACAATAACCATGTCTCACAGCCCTTATCCCCTTACATGCCAAGATTCCCAGACTCCTTTCTCTCCTGGTCGCCCGTCTCGGGCCACGTTCCAGTTGTTCACGGTCCCTCTAAAGGAGGTGCAGAGGTAAGCACAGGACTACGGTGGCTCTTGGCTAGCCTTAACAGAAGAGGGCTCCAGGGCCCCTTCCGTGCTTCTTCCGAAGAGTATTCCCAGCCCTCTCCCGGCCGTACAACCCCTCTGGAGTCGCAGCTCACCCGCTTCTGCTGCGAGTCCACCCAGTAAACGCCACCGCCGTTGCCACTGCCGGGCTCCTTGTGACGGAGGCGGCCGCACTTAGTGACCAGCAGCCGGTCGCCGCAGCGCCGCAAGCCCGGGCCGCACACCACGCGCCCCCGGGAGCGCGCCCCGGCGTTCAGGCGCAGCGATCGCTCCCCTGCACTTCCTGGGCCTTCTCCGTCCTCCTGTCCAGGGAGCAGCAGCTCCTCACCCGGGAGCACCACCTGCTCTAGCACCGCACGTGCCGCCCGAGCCCTGTAGCCCGCCAGGGATTCCGCAACAACAGCCGCCGCCTCGGCCATAGCGGGCGTCACCACACAGTTTCCGGTTTCCAGCTCAGCGTCCAATCGCCAGCCCGCCCCAGGCTTTCCGTTTCCGGCAGCACAGGCCTGTGGGACTTGAACCTGTTGTGAAGCCGGTTAGTCCTGGGCCGGCGGGTTCCCTCAAGGTGGCTATGATTGTGTCTCTAGCCCCCGCCTGTCCTGCAGTCTGTCTGCAGGTCCGCAGCAGAAACGCGCAGCTTGAGTCAGTCGCGGAGCACCCACTTCCAGTGTCTCGGATTGCAGAGTGGGATACAAGACGCCGCCACCTTTCTTTCCGTGGGAACCTTGGGAAGTTAGCAGAGGGCCTTCAGGAGTTGGCTCTCTCTTCTGACTCCGGCCTCAGAAGGACTGCTGACCTTTTGCCAGGAAAAGTATTTTCTTTTTCAGTGGGAAACTTGTATCTATCCACATTGTGGAAGACACAGGGAAGAATCAGAAGAAAATGAAACGTGTTAGTCTTGCAGCCCCGTTTGTCTCCCTTGCTAGGCTGTCAGCTAGTTCTCATTCTTGGTAGCGCAGGTTCTGGCACGAAATAGATAATACCTGGTGAATGAATGAATGTTAACATTTTGGTGTGCCTCTCTCCCTAGGCTTTTTTTTTCCCCCGCAAATATATACATATCACATGCATATTTCCACATAATTGAGCTGCCCCTACATGGCCTGGGAAAAATCAGTAACTGCACTTAAATCCTTGCTGCTGCTGTCGCTGGAGCACGCTTTAGTTGCCTATGTGAGAAGCAGCTGAATTGCAAATCAATAGCATGTCAGGTCTGCCCTTCTGACTTTCAGGGCTCTCACTTGAAATCACAGTTTCATCTGTCAACTGGCACCTCCAATTAGCACTCGGTCAGATAATCCAGTAGGAGTCAGAGCTCCTGGGGACTGGAAAGGCTTGGCTCTGACCGATGGCTTTTAGCTGTCCTCCATTTCTTCTGCCCATCTCTGAGGTATCTGCTTCCAACCTTAATTTTTAGAGTTTTAGGATGTTTAAGACAGATGATCTCTAACATACCGTTGAAATTCTGTAAGATGCTGCTGAGCCAACTGAATAAGATAATAGAGGCCAACTGAAGTGTAACTTTTGTTGTTTTGCAGTCAGATTATCACAGGAGCTGTTCTTGGTCGGTTACCTTTTGCAGAAGGAATGGCACAGATTCTTTTTCTCTCCTCCCCACTCCAACCCAGTTCCAGAGGGTCTGGATCCAGCAGGTATTCGGTGACCACGACTACCTTGATCGCGGCTGACCCAAGGCCATGCCTGTATAGTACTCAATGACGTCGGGTCTGGGCCAGACAGAGTGAGAGGTCAGGAAATGGTCCCTGGATTGTCCCTCAGGCACCCCCACATCAATAGAGGAGTCTCTGTCAGAAACTCGGCCCAAACCTGGCTGAGGAGGCATATCAAGGGCACTTCTGTGTGGGAAGCACGTGGGCATCCGTCTGGCTCATTCCCAAGTCCACAGATGAAATCAGAGGCCTGGAGAAGAGTAGTCACCTGAGACCTGAAGCTCAGGCCTGGAGGGGTTAGGTTGAAAGCATCTCGCAGGCGGTGCCCTGCACGTCGGGCCCAGAGGGCTGGGCACGTGGGAAGGGCACCTGGCCTTCACGCCGCGTGCCGCTGTGTCAGTGCTTTGCCGCCTTGGCGTCGTGCGGCCGATGGTGAGTGACCGCGCATGGCCGAGGCCGGGGTGGCGGGCAGGCCTGGGGATGCAGAGGTCCGTCCACGTGCAAGTGGCTGGAAGCCAAGACCGCAAGCAAGTGTGCGGAGACAGTCTCCGAGCCGCGGACCCAGACTAAGGCAGCACGCCAGTGCGGTGTTGGGGTCCAATTGGGCAGCGGTTGCGAAGTTCGCGTTTCGGAACGGCGTGTGCAGCCTTTTCTTGGTGTGAAAGTGGCCGCTGCGACTGGGAAATGCAGATGAGGCCCGGGCCAGTGCAGTCGGCGGCGCGCTTTCCAGCGTCGAGGCCGCGTCTTGCTTTCGGCCAGAGCGTGGGGTCTTCCCAGCAGATCCGCCTGGGTGGATTAGGACCGCTTCTTGTTTGGGGGGCTTGACGGCCTGGAGCCAGTGCAGCAGGGGCGGTGCTGCCCTCGACTGCCTCTGGGATACACCTTACCATTTCTCAGTATTTCCCTCGGGGAAATGACCGAGTTGCCCTTCGGAGAGGTTGGGCCAGACCACGGCCTTCTGGACTCTTTCCCAACACTTCCTTTTTAGAAATCTGTGCTACTTGAGAAGTTGGAAAAGTGGTATCTCTTGGTTCCTTTTCTTTGTTGACAGGTGGAGTCTGTAACTTTCTATCAACAAGACTAATTGAGCTTTTGCTCTGAGCCAGAAATTCAGCTGAAGCACCTTCCATGCCCTGGGGGAGTTCACTGTCACCACGTGAAAATACCAAGGGTTACGGTGTCTGTAACAACCTGATTAGGGTGTCAGCCCTGAGAATACAAAGGATGAAATGATTGCCTCTGTGGGAGGAAGGTAGGAGTCAAGATAGGTGTCCTGAAGGAAGTAGTATTTGAATGAATCTTTAAATTTTTTTAGTTCACTGGATTCTAAAAATTACAAATGAACTGCATGCTGATTTTCCTGTTGTAAATTTATTTATTTATCTATTTATTTTTGGCTGTGTTGGGTCTTCGTTGCTGCGCCCAGGCTTTCTCTAGTTGCGGTGAGCGAGGGTTACTCTTTGTTGTGGTGCGTAGGCTTCTCATTGCGGTGGCTTCTTTTTATTTTTTTTTTGTTAACATCTTTATTGGAGTATAATTGCTTTACAATGGTGTGTTAGTTTCTGCTTTATAACAAAGTGAATCAGTTATATATATACATATGTTCCCATATCTCTTACCTCTTCCGTCTCCCTCCCTCCCACGCTCCCTATCCCACCCCTCTAGGTGGTCACAAAGCACCAAGCTGATCTCCCTGTGCTATGCGGCTGCTTCCCACTAGCTATCTATTTTACGTTTGGTAGTATATATAAGTCCATGCCACTCTCTCACTTTGTCACAGCTTACCCTTCCCCCTCCCTATATCCTCAAGTCCATTCTCTAGTAGATCTATGTCTTTATTCCTGTCTTGCCCCTAGGTTCTTCATGACCTTTTTTTTTCTTAGGTTCCATATATATGTGTTAGCATACAGTATTTGTTTTTCCCTTTCTGACTTACTCCACTCTGTATGACAGACTGTAGGTCCATCCACCTCACTACAAATAACTCAATTTCGTTTCTTCTTATGGCTGAGTAATATTCCATTGTATATATGTGCCACATCTGACTCTTTTTGAATTATGGTTTTCTCAGAGTATATACCCAGTAGTGGGATTGCTGGGCCATATGGTAGTTCTATTTGAAGTTTTTGAAGGAACCTCCATACTGTTCTCCATAGTGGCTGTATCAATTTACATTCCCACCAACAGTGCAAGAGGGTTCCCTTTTCTCCACACCCTCTCCAGCATTTATTGTTTCTAGATTTTTTGATGACTGGTGAGATGATATCTCATTGTCGTTTTGATTTGCATTTCTCTAATGATTAATGATGTTGAGCATTCTTTCAACATCATTCTTTGAGCATTCTTTCAACATGTTTGTTGGCAATCTGTATAGCTTCTTTGGAGCAATGTCTGTTTAGGTCTTCTGCCCATTTTTGGATTGGGTTGTTTGTTTTTTTGGTATTGAGCTGCATGAGCTGCTTGTAAATGTTGGAGATTAATCCTTTGTCAGTTGCTTCATTTGCAAATATTTTCTCCCATTCTGAGGGTTGTCTTTTGGTCTTGTTTATGGTTTCCTTTGCTGTGCAAAAGCTTTTAAGTTTCATTAAGTCCCATTTGTTTATTTTTGTTTTTATTTCCATTTCTCTAGGAGGTGGGTCAAAAAGGATCTTGCTGTGATTTATGTCATAGAGTGTTCTGCCTATGTTTTCCTCTAAGAGTTTGATAGTTTCTGGCCTTATATTTAGGTCTTTAACCCATTTTGAGTTTATTTTTGTGTATGGTGTTAGGGAGTGTTCTAATTTCATACTTTTTTTTTTTTTTTTGGCGGTACACGGGCCTCTCACTGTTGTGGCCTCTCCCGTTGCGGAGCACAGGCTCCGGACGCGCAGGCTCAGTGGCCATGGCTCACAGGCCCAGCCGCTCCGTGGCATGTGGGATCCTCCCGGACCGGGGCACAAACCCGTGTCCCTTGCATCGGCAGGAGGACTCTCAACCACTGCGCCACCAGGGAAGCCCCTATTCCTAGATTTTTTATTCTTTTTGTTGCAATGGTAAATGGGAGTGTTTTCTTAATTTCACTTTCAGATTCAGTCTTCCTATCCCCCAGCCTTCCCTCCTGACCCCACCTGAGTGGAGACCTTGAAAATTGTTCCCTGAGGGCCTTTTGTTGCCAGCCAGAAGCTAAACGAGATAGATGCATCATCCCCTTTTCCCTGCTGAGATCCTTCTGCCTACTCGCCAGACCTTTGCTCATCCAGGATCAGTCTCTCAAGCATTGTCTCCCTAATGACCATAGGATATAGTGTCACACTATTGTTTGCTGGACTATTCTTCCTATTTTTAGGTGGTTAATGGTTTCCAGTATTTTGCTTTAGCAAGGGTAATGATTATTAGTATAGTCATTGGAATCAAATACACTTGGATTCATATCCCAGCTCTGTCACTCTCTAGCTGTGTGACCTTGGGGAAGTGTGTGACCTCTCTGAGCTTCAGTTTCTTTGCCAATAAAATGGGGAGTGATAAAAAGCATTGCTTCCTAGGATTTTTATAAGAATTACATGAGACAGTTAATATGAAGCATTGAGTACATGCTTAGCACATATTCATTGCTTAAGTATCAGCTATTAATTTTGCAAATATTGTGTCATTTAGGATTAAGTGGGGACAAAGGGATAATTATCTAAGCTTCACTTTTCTCATACAAAAAGGTTGGTATTTGGGGGTCCTTATGTATTAAGAGTCTCTGAGTCTTGTTTCTGAGGTTTCTGATGAAATGGGTGTTTAGAGGAGAAAGAAGTAGTTGGAGTGAGCAAAGAAGATTTCCCAGCAGAGCTAGAGTTCCAGGTTTGCATTATATTGAACTTGACCAAGATACTTACCTGTCTGGAAAGTTTATTGTGGCCTGACTTTGCCTCTTTACTCTAATCTTGGGTTTTTTCATTAATGCTTATTTTGTTAGGCCTTGTGTTTTATTGGCTGTATTGTGATGGACAGAGATTCTGCTTCTAACTGTGTGTTTTCTTGCAGGTCTGTGTGAACTGGAGAAAGTCTGACCTCCCTGCCTGGGAAAAGGCAATGCTGGAATTTGCACTTGCTATTTCCCGAGTTGATGACATAACAGATGACCATTTCAAAAAGCTCGAGGTGCACAGATTCAACCAAGAAGATGCCTGGGATATAGCTGCAATTTCAGCTTTTTATGCCATGTCCAACTGCCTTGCTCATTTTGTCAGTCTTGTTCCCAACAAAGAATTCTATTTGATGGGCAGAACCAATGATGTCAAAGACATCAGGAGTGAACCTGCTGCTCCCAAAGTATAAATGTCTGAACAGAAAGGCCAGTGTTTACATTTCCAGCACATTGCATTATAAGACACCAGTTGGGAAGTAATTTTTTTAAATGTTTAGTCAATGGATAGGGAAGAAAGTAAATAAATTTGTTCCCTGCCTGCTTGATGAGATAGATCCTAAGGGACATGTGATATCTGGGCCTCGGGGAAACCTTTTACTTTTTTACTTTTGTTGTGATGTGAAAGGAGCATCAGGGACAAAGGAGTTCAGAGGATGCTTTAGGCATTTCTGATGAACTGATATCTGTGAATTTCAGCAATTGAAGTTGAACATATTTTAGCTTTTAAAAATAGTGTTACATGGAAATTGGTCTATATAGACTGTGTTTTGTTTTTTTTGGGGGGGAGTTCGCGCGCCTCTCACTGTTGTGGCCTCTCCCGTTGCAGAGCACAGGTTCCGGACGCGCAGGCTCAGCAGCTACGGCTCACGGGCCTAGCCGCTCCGCGGCATGTGGGATCTTCCCGGACCAGGGCACGAACCCGTGTCCCCTGCATTGGCAGGCGGACTCTCAACCACTGCACCACCAGGGAAGCCCTAGACTGTGGTTTGAAATCAATTCTGTGTTAACATGATGGTATATAAAGGCTCTGAAAGGCAGTGGGTAAACAGAAGCAGGCACCAAGTTGTTCTATTTTTAGTGCCTTCTCCATTAACCTCCAGTGATTTTTATTTAAATCATGGTCATCTCAATAGAATTTTAGTCCTTATGTAGTTTATCCTTATTTTAGGGTTTAGTAAAAATTATTTGGAACAAGAAGGTTCTCATATTTTAAGAAGTATAAGAAAAAACCAACCCTGACATTACTAAGCGACTCGTTCTGCATGTTACAACCACCACTGCCTTAAGTGTGTGGCTGTCTTAACTTTTCAGGAGACATTTTCATTATCTAACTGATAGAGGTACATGCAAACCTACAAAATGTCTTTGTTTCCATTTGACTTCGTTAGATTCTCTAAATTGCCAGGGAATAGTTCTTAATCAGTTTTAGGGCGATAGTTAATTTTGAATTGCCTGAACTGTGAAACCTGGTTATCTTGAGACAGCACAACTCTTGTTGCAGAGCTTGTGTTATTCTGTTGGAACTATATCTTAAATACCTTAGAATATGTAACCTTTTAAAACTGACTTTTGAGGGGAGGAGGCAGGGGCATAAAAAAAAAAGGAAAAATATTGAGTTTTATTTTACTTATTGAGAAAGTTAATAACATTGGTGAATATATCATGGTCAAGGTTTTATACACCAAAATAATTTTAGCCATTGGCCATAACTCGGGAATCAAGTAGAGGGCCTTTATTAAGTATCGGTTGCAGCCAGAAGTTGTAGGTCACTAAGGGACATTATTTGTTAATTATAAAACAGAACTCTACCCCTAACATGGGGAATATCTCCAGAGTAATGGCTGCCTTGATCTTCTCTGAACACTGGACACTTGCTTCTTGCCATTTTTCAGTCAGCTCATGGACAGAAGAGTTGAATAACTACTAACTTTGCTGGTGGGAGGAACTGCTGAATGTTCAGCCCTCTCTGAGTCTCATTCCTTTACTTTTGAGATCTTTAGACTATCCTAAACAGTCACCAGATGGGAGCTTTCTATAACTCAGGTCTTGATCAAGGCCTAGAAGGGTTGTCAGTTCTTATACCTACCTCTTCTTATACCTCAGGCTTCCCTTCATTGAAGACTCTCCTTCCCTCCCCAAGAAACACACCAGTTCGTTAATCTTTTTCTGCAAACAAGTCCTATGTATTTGTCTTCAACAGCAGTGGTGAAGGGCCTTGCATCTGTTATGCCCTGCTTGGCAGAGGTAAGCAGGACTGACGGTGGGCTCTATTGCTTGTAAGGCTGAATTGATTCAGGTCTTCAGCTCCCCTCAGTGACTCCTGACTGGATATATGTTCCTTCCTGCAGAGAGGAAGGCTTTGGCCTTGATAAAGTCTTGACCTAGTAGGTCAAGTAACTGGGAGTTGGGCAGAGCTCCAGCGCACCAGTAAGCCCCATTTCCAGGCAATGTACAAACCAGGGCTTTTTAGTGCAGAAGTTAACCCGAGTCCCTAGATTCCCAGGCTGTGTAGGCAGTACACCGTGCTACTTACTATGCGTGAGCAGCCCATAATATGGTCATTTCTTACCTTCGCTGGTCTCAGTGTAGAGATGATTATGTAAACAGTACATAATCATACCCAGCCTCTTGGACTGACTAGTCAGGCCCTGTCATCCCCAAGGACACAGTCTGGTCACTGACAACCACATACTGATAATGTCACAAGCGGTGCCCAGATGCTAAAGTTACTCCATGCAGCCCAGACCCTGGGCATCCTCAGTTGCGCGCCCACGCACCTAGTCGCTCCAGACCTCCAACCCTCCGGGACGCGGTACCCACAGTCGGGCGGTGTCCCTGCTTTCTTGGTCCCCAGCGGATGATGGCCGAGAGGCGGCTCGGGTTTCCCAGCCGGTGGGGTTAGGCCAACGTACGCCGGAAGTGGCGGCTGGGGCGGGAGCGCCGAGGTGTCGGCGGGCGGGGCAGCAGCCAGGAGCTGGGGGTCGGTGCGTTGGTCATGTTTCCCTTCGGGCCCGGTAGCCCCGGAGGGGACAGGGCGGCCGGAGCCGGGGCTGAGGAGCCAGCACCCCACGCGAGACAGGCTGCGGCTGCCGGGCCGCTCCCTTCTCCGCCCCCGTCGCTACAGCCGGGGGCTGACGCAGCCCCTCCCCCGTCGCCCTGCGGGAGCCCTCGCCACCCCTGCGCCCCTTCGCAGCCCCAGGCTGGGCGCGCGGGGGAGCTCCGGCCGCCCGGAGCTCTAAAGCCCTCAGCCGCTTCCGCCCAGGAAGAGCAGTCACCGCCCTCCCCGCCGCGCCGGCAACCTGGGCCTGACTGCAGGGCCGGGAGCCGGGGCCGGCACTGCCTCAGCGCCCGCCTGGGCGGCCCTGGCGCCCAGCTGTTCGGGTGGCTGAGAGAGCGCAGCCTGGGCCGCGGGCTGTTCGTGGATCCGGCACGAGACAATTTCCGCACCATGACTAACCTCTATGGTTCCATCCATCCCGCGGACTCGGTGTACCTCAGCACCCGCACCCATGGGGCCGTCTTCAACCTCGAGTACTCGCCCGACGGGTAAGCTTGGCCCCTCGGAGGGCGGGGACCCGTCTCCGTGTGGCGCGGCTGCCGGTGGGCGGCTGCCCGGGGCCCGCTCGCTCGGCCCGGGCCGGGGTTTGAGAGTCCGTTTGGGGCGGCCGGCCTTCGTGCCCCTGGCTCTTTATGAAGCACTCTGTCGCTATTGCAGGCTCCGTCCGGCCCTTGGAGGTAGGCGAGCCCGGGACTGGTTTGCTCCCCTTCAGGACCGGCGCTCTGTGAAGGAGAAGTGCCAAAAGCCCCCCGACAGGTCTGTCAGAGCCAGTCCAGAGCTAGGGTTTGCTGGCACACCGTAGATGCTCAATAAGTACACTTTGAATAAATGCCCGTTCTTTCCCTGTCACACTAGGCTTGTGTTTTTCCCACCTAAGCTTGGTCAAGGGTACGGAGCCTGCAGACTCCCTGTTCCCTGTGCTGACTTGCCCTGAGGGGACAAGTGCGCGGTCCGTCGTTCCTTTGCTCCAGTAAGATACTAAGACACTGCAGAGAGGTATGTTGTGATGTGGGACATCTGTGAAGTTCCACGCTAGACTACATTCTTCTGTTAAGGGTATCCAGCCTTTCTCCTGGCTGACTAAAATTTCATGTTTGGCCTCGGTTTACTTTGGGCTATGGAGAATTTTCAAAGTGATATATGTATGTATATATATATTTTTTTACTGAACGAGGTAGTTTATTACTCAAAGGGTGAGAATAATCAGGATATGACGTTAAATTTATGAGCGCAGTCAAATTTCAAATTGTGTACATGTGCACATACACGAGCACAAGAAGCTTTTTTCTCTCTGAGAAGGTGGGTAAAGCTAGATTGTGTTTTTCTCTTTGCAGTAACTGAGGAACAAGGGCAGAGCGTGGTTAAGGTGACTCAAAAGAAAAGAGGGATACAATTCAACTAACAAATAGAGGATTAGTCTTCAAGGAAGACATACAGGGTTCTCAGAAATTTGGCCAAGATCAAGTATAGAATATTATTCTAATTAGAATAGAAATTTCAGGTAAGGAAAGGATGATTAACTGAATCTAAGTTGTAACTGTAAAGCTCACCAAGTTCACATGGTTAGCACATAGGAAAAAGAGGATTTGAATTCAGGCAGTCTAACTCCAGAGTTCTTAATCACTGTACTAATACCAAATTACATGGATAATTACCTTAACAATTAGCATTTTCCTACCTGAAGATTAATTTAAAATCTATTATAACAAATATATTCTAACATTAAATATGGCATGTTCATCTATTTTGAATACTTGTACCGTTAATCTTAAAATACCACTTTTTCAATAGGGAGTTGCTTTTCAATTTTCTGTAGCAATGAAAACCATAATTTACAATTCTTATAAATATATAAATTGGCGCTTATTATTCTAGAGCACTGAGGGAAGAAAAAATCTGTTTCCCTCATTGGCTCAGAAGCAGCTACCAAAATAAAAAGCTATAACTTCCAAGATTGTTCACTTTCCTGCTGACATTAGTGAGGCTAGGGCACCAAGCATGAAGTACACCAGAGCCATTTCAGCTTCTGCTTTCAGGAGAACATAGAATGGTAAATAGAAAAGGACCATACCATTAGGGAAAACACTTTATTTCCAAGTTTCTAAAATAGTATTAAAACAGTAAGGGAAAAATGCAAATTATATAAAGTAGTATGACGGCACATCAATCACAACTTCCTAACAAGCCCTTTCAACATTCAGTGCTAATTGCTGAAACACTGAAATAAAGTGATGTTTCAATTATTTGGTCTTAAACAATGACAGGTTTAAGATTCACCTGATTAAAAACCATCCACACCAATGTAATAGCATATCATAAGATAATTGGCTAACAGTTTTTGCAAATGGCAGTTGTTAACATATTTCTTCCACACATATAAATGTTGTGCTGAGGAGGGGAGTAAGATGTTTTCTGCCTTTCTTTTATGATGGGTTGTAGAAGCATCCATCTCTTCCTCTCCTATATTATCAATTTGTGAAGTTGGACTACAATTCATTCTCTCCTCTTCTTGCCTCTGGAGTCTGTCTGCCACAGCTTGGATAGCTTCTGTCCATTCTTCCCTTTCCTCTGGAGTGTCTACATGAAATGTTCTCTCTATTAACAGTGGTCCACTGGAGACATCTGATAATAAATGTGTTTGGCTTTGGTCGTTCTGTTTTCATTAACTGGCATTTTGCTACTGAAAAGTTGTTGAGGGGATAAGGTAAATCCACATCTTGGGGTTTCTCTTTATATCCTATGAATGAGCCATCTGTCTTCAAAAGGAAATATCTTGGCCTCCAGTTTTTTATATATTCTCTCCTCTTCTGAACCCAACCTTCTTTCACAGTGGTAACGTTGCTCATGATGGTGCCTCTCTGAGCCCCCAACTTGGAGAAAAGGTACTTTGTGATACCACCTTTGAGGTTTGGATTCTCTGCCCCTGCTGCCCTTCCCACTCTGTAGTGATGACTCAGCCTCGAAAGTCAGCGGCTGCCTGCAGCTGCTCTGTGTGTGTGTGGGGGGGGGGGGGGGGGGGGGGGGGGGGGGGGGATCTGGGGGGAGGGGGGGGGGGGAGGGAGCTGGCCGGGCCATGGAGCTGGAGCAGGAGGCTCAAAGTGATATATATATTTTTTAAACTTTGTTTTGTGAGTACAGGAACAAGTTCAACAGCAATCAAAGGAAAAAATTTACACATGGTTCCACCATGAGCAGACATAGATAATACAACTCTTACCCCATCAAGGCCTCTGGATTCTTAGTCATTTGCTTAGCTGTTCATTCATTCATTCATTCATTCCCTCCCTCGTTCAGCAAATATTGGGTTGGCCAAAAAGTGCCTTCTGTTTTCACCAAGATCTTTATTGAACAACATAGTCATCCTTTTGTTCCACTATCTTCTGCCATTTTTCAGGCAACTTCATAATTCCATCTTCCCAAAACTTTTTATCTTTTTGAGCAAAGAACTGTTCCAGGTGCCTTTTACAGTCTTCCAGGGAATTGAAATTTTTTCCATTAAGAGAATTTTGTAAAGACCTAAATAAATGGAAATCTGAAGGTGCAATATCTGGTGAAAACGGCGGGTGAATCAGAACTTCCCAGCCAAGCTGTTAACAGTTTTTGCCTGGCCATCAAAGAAACATGCAGTCTTGCGTTATCCTGATGGAAGATTATGCATTTTCTGTTGACTAATTCTGGACACTTTTCATTGAGTGATGCTTACAGTTGGTCTAACTGGGAGCAGTACTTGTTGGAATTAACCATTTGGTTTTTTTGGAAGGAGCTCATAATAGAGGACTCCCTTCCAATCCCACCATATACACGACATCACCTTCTTCGGATGAAGACCAGCCTTTGGTGTGGTTGGTGGTGGTTCATTTCACTTGCCCCACGATCTCTTCCGTTCCACATTATTGTACAGTATCCACTTTTCATTGCCCGTCACAGTTTGTTTTAAAAATGGAACGTTTTCCTGGGCTTCCCTGATGGCTTAGTGGTTGAGAGTCCACCTGCCGATGCAGGGGACACGGGTTCGTGCCCCGGTCTGGGAAGATCCCACATGCCGCGGAGCGGCTGGGCCCGTGAGCCATGGCCCCTGAGCCTGCGCGTCCGGAGCCTGTGCTCCGCAACAGGAGAGGCCCCAACAGTGAAAGGCCCCGCGTACCGAAAAAAAAAAAAAAAAGTTTTCATTACGTTTAAGTAGAGAATCGCATGTAGAAATACGGGGAAGAAGGTTTTTTTGCTTAACTTATGTGGAACCCAAACATCAAAGTGATTCACATAACCAAGCCGGTGTAAATGATTTTCAGTGCTTGATTTGGATATTTTGAGTATGTCGGCTATCTCCCGCATGGTATAACGTTGACTGTTCTCAATTAATGTCTCAATTTGATCGCCATCAACTTCAGCTGATCTACCCAACCATGGAACATCGTCCAACAAGAAATCTCCAGCATGAAACTTCGCAAACCACTTTTGACACGTTTGATCAGTCACAGCGCCTTCTCCATACACTGCACAAATCTTTTTTTGCATTTCAGTTGTGTTTTTACCTTTCTTGAAATAATAAAGCATATGACAAAAATGTGCTTTTTTTCTTCCATCTTCAATAATAAAATGGCTACACAAAAATTCATCAATTTTGATAAATTTTTTAAAAATGCACACTGATATGACAGCTGTCACATACAATCTAACAAAATTGTTTTGAATGAAGTTAAAGACACCTAAGTGCTACTAGAGCCATTTTACAGAAAAAGCTGAACAACCTTTTGGCCAACCCAATATTTGTTGAGCACTTGCTGTGCTCCAAGGCAGAGGTGGCAGTGGTGAGCAAACCAGCTAATGGCACCGCTTTCATTGGTCTTGGGACGTATTGGTTCAACTAGACATTAATAACCATACTAAATAATTTCTTAATGTATATTTACAAATTGTGATACAGGCTTGAAAGAATCTGTTGTGGACTAGAGTTTTCAAGGTTTCCCTGAGAAAGTGACACTTGACCTAGATTGGAAAAATGAGTAGAAGATAAATTAGTCAAGATAGTGTTTGGAAGGGCATAGAAATACTTTAGGTGGAGGAACTGGTATGTCAAAGGACCTGTGGTTGGAGGAGCAGCATATCATGCTAGAGAAGCTGAAAGAAGATAGGTTAACAAAGTAAAAAATTGGGCTGAAGAAAGACATAAAATGTGCTAACAAAGGAACAAAGCAACAGAATCTGGAATCACTGAGCGAGTACACCCTGTTTCCTTTCACTGTTGCAAATGCTTTTTCTTAATCAGACTCAGTTCTGGGATCTCTGGGGTTTCTCCCTATAGCAGTTGACTTGTAACAGTGACTGTGCACCTGAATACAGAGAAAATTGGTGAGGGGAGAAACTGTTTTGCTGAAGTTTATCCATGGAACCTCCTCTCCCCACTTCCTTCCTCAAGCCCTATTCCTAAAGCTTCTCCCAAAATACCAGGAGTCTGTTCCTCATAACCCTTCAGTTCCTTTCTTCAACA